ATTTCGATTGTAATAGAGATAGACATAATGAAATTTAAATGTATTGTAATGTTTGTAATGATATTATGATATGTAAAGAAAAGCAAGTGAACTGTTTGAACTTCAAAATGCGACTGAACTAGAATTATGATTGTCCCGACTTAGTCACCGAGAATTTAAAATATCTCCAAGACGACGGATGTAGCGTCGTTTTTATTACTGGCCAGTGAGTACCCATGTTGATCATTCTATTCGGGCCAGCATTAGGATTTCGTGGGTCCGTTTATATCTTTCAAAACACCTTTACTATAATTATTCATACTGCACACATACTATATACATATTACATCACCTGCGTAAAAGATAAACTATTTTATAATGAAGATTCGATTTGTACTGTATCCCTCATTATATACTTTAAGATGGTATTTTTTACGTTTTTTTTTTTTTATATAATATTTTAGTTCTTTTGATTGTACTATGTATATGAGGCATTTTTTTTGCAATAATAAATGAACATTTAATACGATTACGAATTAGCGTGCGTATGGGCGTAGCCCGTTTTGCCCAAAAATGACCGTCAATAACAAATATTTGTCATTAAAATATTAATACGAACACCCAAAATAATACAAATAATACCAAAATTAGTTGTGCGAAAATCTTTTATTATAATATTACTTAAGAACAGTAAAATACATAATATCATTTGTATTATAATATATTCTATTAGATAGTCGGTAAGTATAATATGACTGCAAGAGGCACTATAATCCTTCAAAGTCGATTTAACATATTATGCGTATTCGTACGTTGGCTATTCTAGCATCTAGCTCAAAATTAATCGGTAACATGCGTAGATATCAACAAACATCATGACAACGCGTATGTTTGGACGTCGTGGTTGTTGATTATGTAAACAAGGTTTTATAATTTCAATAAATTATCGACGATTTATAATTTCTCAACTTAATACGTGTATGTCGTAGACATTTTGAACAATTTGTGGTTATTTTTTTTAGTCTTCAATTTCAAAATTCCCTATGATAATATAATAATATACAACAGTAGAATATAATATCGTATTTTTCACGTTAATGTCGTTAATGAAGATCTATCAATCTACCACCATATTTTAATATTGTTTTTAAATCAACCACCCACATAATCTGTTTTTGTTGAAACTTTAAAAATTATTTCATTGGTAAAAACTTTATCAATTATAGCGGCAACAAATGAAAGGTTTCTTTCATCGCTCAAAACAGTAAAGTCATATTTACGCACTACCATGGGTTATCTATATGGTACTGAATGTTGAAAAAATAGAAGTTAACGATTACCAATCTAGAAGACGAATTTGCTTAACTTAAAAACCACCACTGTCCGCTTATTTAAATTTAAAATATTTTATTTATTTTTGTTGAGTATTTTGCTTTTACAAAGATTATAAGTATAAAAAATAAACTGCAATTTATAAATGCCATATTACATGCATTCAATACTTTTTTTTATTTGCAGCTACATTTCTTCTTCTAGCTTTTTATTCGTCGATTATTGATTTTCACTGTTAAGGTAATTAATTAATTATTTATTTTATTATATTTTAGTTTTTGAATTTGTTTTTACTGTTTATGT